AATTTCATATTTAGCTTAATGAGAGCCAAGCACACCTAATATACATGTTGATCGAGCTTGAACTTCTAGGTTAAAATGCTAAACAAAATGTTAGAATAAATGTTTCACAATTAAGCTTGAACTTCTAGGTTAAACCGACTAGATCATTAAATACTGTAAGCAGGAAATCAAGTTGGTATAATGGGTATCAATCACCATGATTTTTGGAAGCGACAGATTAAATGAGGTTATGATAGCAATTCGAGAGATCTCGAACAAAATATTTGAACAGAAACACACAAATAAGAAATTATAGAAAAACACACAAAGCACACAAAAATTTAATGTGAAAAAACCCAAGAACTGGAAAAAATCATGGAACCACACCACACCAAAAAATTCAATATACACTATAAGAGGAGCAGGATCTGATATTTGCATCGGATATTTCCGACGCAAATGATAGCGTTGGATTAGTGTTAGATAAGTGGCGAAAAATAAATTATGACATTTATGTCGGAATTAGCGTTCGATTTACATCAAAAATTTGTTTGTATAAGAGTTCAGAAAACGACAAAATTTATATTTAGGTTTGCGATGGAGTTTGCATTGAATCTGCGTTGAAAAAAACATTGCAGATGCCTTAGTTATTAGCGTCGAACAAGTTCAAAGAAAATTCGACGAAGATCCGACACAAATGACCTAATTTAATCTTCTCGTGCACCTAATTTCATTTTCCCTTCGCTCGTCTCCCCCTCCCGCTCATCTTCTCCTCTGCTCGGAAGTCTTGAGCGTGACTCCCCTTCTCCCCTTCCCTTTCCCCGTTCCCTCTTCCTCACAGGTTCGCTCAAGTCCTCGCAACACAGTCGCCATTAGAGCTAGTTGGGAAAGTCCTTGCATATTTTAATTTGCTTATCCCTAAAGATTAATTCTAGCACCTCCGAAAAAAAGTGTCTTATTGAATGTTCCTCTCAAGTACCTGAGAATCCACTTCACCGCCTCCAATGATGTTTCATTGTATTACCCATGTACCTACTAACCACTAACACTGCATCTATTATATACATTTCATCGATTATATAAAGCTTTTAATTGCAAAGCATATGAAGTTTTTTCATGTGTACTTCCTTTATTTCATATTTGGGTGCTAGTTCATTAGATAACTTGAAGTTACTACATAACGGGGGCAAACTGATTTTGCCTCACTCAAATTGAACTTGTATATGACATTCTCAATATATTCTGCCTAAGATAACTTCACTATAACTGCACTCATATACATGTTGATTTCATACAAAGAAACTTTTGAGCTCTATGGTAGATACATAAAAAAGCCCCACCAATCAGAAAAATGTAAAAAGGATAGATGCTCAATTTGGTAAAGCACCAGTTCCTTAATCACCTGCTACTGAAGTCAATAGATTGAACAGAGTTACATGATCGATATTGAGGTATTCTGCTTCATTGCACAATATTCATTAACTGATATTGATGAATCAGGGTGCAATGAAGAAACCACTCATGTTGAAGGCTCAAATGAGTGAGAGTTTGTCATGGATGATCAAACACAGACACTAAAGTCAAATCCGACATGAGATTTGGCAGACTTGTCAAATGGCAAAATGACACACGCATAACAAGTGAATCTATAGAATAAAAAAAGAGTCAGATGTTAGCTGTCGATAAAGCTTGTTGTGAAGTAGTTTCAACAAAAGAAATGAGTGTACTACTCAGACATATTTTTTTTCTTGCAGTGAAGATGACAACTATCAGAGTTATATATTGAGCTTGATAGTTGAAAAAATTTTAAATCTAAAGTAGTTGCATGCTAACTTTGTATGTGAATATGTATCACATAAATTAATTATGAACTTCAAAAAAAAATTGATGAAAATAAAATAAATTAATTAGAACTAACTTATGATGAATAATGACAATAAATTCATTTGATCTTCAGCAAAACTTTTATAGTTCGACATTGTCACAATAAATTTCATAATTGTGAAATAACATATTATTATATTTCATTTATCAATATTCAAACAATCAACGTAAAACCATTTTCTTAAAAGCTTCTGTAACTAAAAAAAACCATATTGACCTTATTTTCTTTGCATCTCTACTTTATTTATTTTGCATCTACTTGAAACGAAACAGCCCGCAGAGCATCTCAATTAAGGTGGTGTTAATGTATGAGGATTTCATTCTCAAACACAATAAAAAAGTTTACACGCCACACAATTACATTGAATTTACATATCTAACACCTAAATTATGTTCTTTTGTTACATTTTAACCATCCAAATATTTTTATACCACCATTTTAACCTTTAAAAAGTGAAATGCACATTTTCCAATCAAGGTGAGGTGGTATATGCAAGTAAAAATGAAAGTTTAGCTGTACGATGTGTAAATACATAAGAATTGAGTGCCATGAATGCAAATCTTCCAAATAAATAATCCTACAGAGAGAACAACATCAATGTAAATTCCACACAGAATCTTAAGCAGTTTATTCGTGCTTTAGCCCAAGCTACAACAACCACCTATAATATGCCCTAATAAATAGTGATGCTTCATGAACTATTACACATTAAAGGCACATTGCAAAAACAAACTTAGGGCCGTTTGGTTGGAGAATTTAAGCAGGATTTAACCTAAAATTTTCCAAAGATGAGCGAAAATAACCATAAAATCTACAAAAGCTAATGTTTCTCTTCTGATTCCTCAGTAACACAGTTGTTAAAAAAAAAAAAAAAAAAAAAAAAAAGGAGAAGTAAAGAAAAGGAGAAGCTCGACCCGAATTGATTCTCGCGTGCGATATGGTTGTACTGGAGGCTTTATTAAGTACTACTATGTTGTACACAATCGCTTTTGTATCGAACTGTTTATTTAGATGTCTTTTATAGTACAACATGGTTATATTGAAGAAAAACATTTGATACAACCATGTTATTCACCATGGTCGGGTCGAAAAGCTTGACCCGTTTTGATTATCATGTACTAGAGGTTTTCTTGATTACAATCATGTTGTACACTACAGATCTCACGCCAAATTGTGTATTTGGATGATTTTTTACTTGGTACAATATGGTTGTACTGAAAAAAAACCTCCAGTACAATCATATTGTACATCAGGAGTGGGTCAGGCTTCAGTTTTTCTGTTTTTTACAATAAAATAATGTATAAGTTCGACACACATCAAATTTTTATTGGAGCTGGAACACAACTCTATATCTGGACTCTAGACGTAATATTTTCTTGAGAAGGGGAGCCCATGCAAACAATAAGTAGCACACCATCTTTGTTTATCAGTCTTTTGAGCGAAAAAAATAATTCAGCAAAAATGACTCCTTCCCTATTTGAAAAATACTGTAAAATTGTACTTTGTTTTTTTTTTTTTCACTCCAACCAAACACATGAAATTAAAACACAAGTATTTTTATTACTTTACATCTTTTTCTGAAGCAAACCAAACATAACTTTCACTGTAACAATCCAGATCCTAAATTCTCCAATAACTATAACATAATGAGGAGAGATAAGGGGACTCTCCATTTTAACCTTTAAGCCCCCTCTCCAAGAATTCTCCCTTTTTGCCTAAATGATCTTTTGTTCTGTTTTGGCTTGTATGCTTTTGACCAAATATTTCTTCTTTATCTGGAGTGCATCTTACTGTTCTTCTACTAGCTTGTGATACTAAATGGATTTTACTTCTGTCTTCAATTTCTTTTTCACTTCTCTCCTTTTTGGCGCTATTAATATTTTAATACAATCCAATAATAAATCAGGATTTAACATCTTGCTTTATATCAATCATGAAACTACATAATCTGAAGCATAAGTACTCAAAATATGTATCTGTTATGACCAAAACAAATTCAGTGCTGTAACGGCTCATGGGATCTACAATGTTCTTTTTCTTCTTTATCTTTTAGAAAAATAACTTGTATTTTATTAACTATACAATATACATTATGCTCATAATAAAGCAAATTATAAAAAAAAACATTCTAATTAAATTTTAAGCAGGATATTTCGCCTTAATTTTCCTAATATTTTTAATATCATACATAATTGTCCTCTTTTAACAAAATTTTGGCCTTTGTCTGGCTTGGTGTTGGTTTCTATGGCTGAGTCTTCTCCCTTCGCCTTTGCCCTCATCTACCAGTAACTATTGACGAGCTCAGCTCAAGTTAGCAGATGTTTGATGATTGAAACTTCAAAATTCTTGAGTTTCAGCTTCAGAATGCTGGAGATTAACGAATATCGACAAATTGCTTGTTTCGAAGAAGCTCTGAAATAATTAATTTGATTTTTCATCCGAATTAGAGTTGGATAAAATTTAGGTCAAATTATTCTTATAAAATCTTAATAAGAATGCATTTTATGTTAGACGATTCGTTTTTAAATGAGAGTAATAGATTCAAAATTTATTAAAATATTTTTATCATATTAATCTCAAAATGAATTTAGTTTTTGAAATTTTTGTTAATAAAAATCTGACGAAATATTCTAATTCATTCTTTTTCCTTCTTAATATAGGCATGAGATATATGACAAAACACTTTTCCTTGATCCTTCAGATATTTTGATGGAATAACACAAAGTTAATTTCTAATTTATAATATTGCAATCAATATAATTATAAAATGAATACTTTAGTAAAAGAAAATTTTTTAAATACCAAAAAAATTTGTAATTTAATAAATTGTTTTATATATTATCATATGCTATGTTTATTTTAGTTATTAACTTTCTAAGCGAACTCTTCTGTAGGCAAATGTAGAACGGGCCCCACAGAATTACAAAGTCAAAAGAATCAATAAAAAGTGGAATGGAATGGACGGGCAGAGATACATATAAAATACGAACCATCCATGATCCAACACAAACACAAAGTTGAACTCACATTGTACTTTTCTTCATTGAATTCAGTTCTCTCCCTATAAAATAGTCCCTCATTTTCAATCTTCATAGTTCCTCTTCTAATCCTTCAGTCATTCTTCCTGCTATCCAAGATGGAAGGCAGTGGATGCTTGAATGGCTATCAGTTACCTCCAGGCTTCCGCTTCCACCCCACAGACCAAGAGCTAATCATCCATTACCTGAGGAAGAAGATAACTTCATCTCTCCCTCCATCTTCTTCCATTATTGCAGACATCGATCTCTACAAGTTCAACCCTTGGGAGCTCCCCGGTACTTAACCCTTTCCTACATTTGGAATCCATTAATCATATAAAAATTGGATTTTGATGAGTATAGGTTCCCAAAGTTGTGTTTTTTATTACTAATACGCAGCGCTTTGATTTCAGAGAAAGCGTTTTTTGGTGAGGGCGAATGGTTCTTCTTCAGCCCAAGAGATCGCAAGTACCCGAATGGTGTTCGGCCGAACCGCGCTGCTGCGTGTGGATACTGGAAGGCGACGGGCACTGATAAACCTATATTGGCCTCTAATGGCAGCCATTGCCTCGGCGTTAAGAAAGCTCTCGTTTTTTACAAAGGCCGGCCGCCAAAAGGCACCAAGACTGATTGGGTCATGCATGAATATCGCCTACTTGACTCGAATACTTCTATGCATCATAAGCATAAGGGCACCATGCGGGTAAGAATTCTGCAAATTAAAAATTTTTTAAAACATAATTAAGAATACAAATATGTTTAAAACAAGGGCTTTGAACACTAATTAACTCTTTCACTTGAACAATTTCAGCTGGACGACTGGGTTCTCTGCCGAGTAAGGCATAAGGGCAGCTTTCTTCCGGAAAACGACGAGAAACCATCGCCATCTCCGCCGCCTCCGCCGGCATCAACGTCGATCTTCACCAAATCTCCTGTGCAGCACGACTTAATGCAGCAATATGCCGGAAAAGAAAGAAACAATTTTTATGAGTTGAACGACTGCCAGCTTATGGGATATCTCTTGGGTTCTGCTACGCAAGCCGAAAGCGGCTGTGAAAGCTCCGATTTGGTTTATGATGGCGATTTCTTCGTTGGAGATCAGCAACAGCCTGAGCTTGTTTCCTCCATGCTGGGTTCCATTAAAAGGAAGCTATCTTTTGGCGCTCTCGATGAGCTCATGATGCTGCCTCCCGGCAAGAGGACGCACCACTTCAACGCTGGAGAGGAGCTGTCGCCTACAGAGTCTGATTCAGATGAACAGGAATGCTTAGAGTTTTTGATATGAGATTATATAAAGTTTGTGGCTTTATGATTTATATTGTTCGCCTTTTATCTGAATCTTAGTATGGAGGAAATACAGAGCTGCTGAAGGCGATTATATTGATCTCACAAGGCGCATTGCCATGGTTGTTTAATTTTTTGCTTAGTTTATTTACATTTTTTTTTCTTAGAGTTTTGTTTAAGAGCAAAATGTTGTAGAAATAGGGTTCTTGAAAGTTAAATAAAGGATGAAGATTGTTCAGAAGTAACTGTTCTGTATGCACCTGTTCATAATCTGCAGAGAGAGTGAGATGATTATTTATGTGCTGCAATCAATTAATATTAATGAATATTATCTTAAGTTATTTGTGAATTAAACGATAATTTTTTTCTGAATTAAAATTCGTTAACTTTGTCTCTGTTTTCATGCATGGCGGATACATGAATTGAACGAGAAGATTTGAGGGATAATGTGTTGTTTATTATGTCACTGACATTTGGCAAAGATCCTTTCAGTGAGGGAATTCCGATGACCAAACTCACGAGTTGTGATTTGTTTATGATTAGCGATGAAGATTTGGGCTGCTTATGAATCCTTTTATTACAGTTAGGGCTGTCAATTTGGCTTGTTGTTCGTGAACAGCTCATGTTCGGCTCGTTAAACAAGTCGTGTTCGACTCGTTTGTTAAGCCTAATAAGACGAACACGAACAATTTTTAAAGCTCGAAATGTAAACGAGCCGAACAAGAACAACAGTTTGTTCGCTCGTGTTCGGCTCGAAATGACTCGAAAAAAAAATTTATATAACTTTCTCTATAACAATATATTACATATATTATTTATATAATAATAAATTATATATATTTATGTCTAAATTTAAATCATAACACCTCATATGACAATGTGGTTAGTGTCTTTTTTTGTATAGATTTGATCCAAGTTCGAATCCCACACTTTACATCTATTTTTTCTCAATCTTAGTTTAACGAGCCAATTTCGAGCCGAACACGAATATTTAAATCCAGCCGAACACGAACACGCTGTTCACGAGCCGATTTCGAACACGAGCCGATTTCGAACACGAGCTATTTCGAACGAGCCAAACACGAGCCAAGCCCGAGCTCGCTCAATCTCGGCTCATTTACAACCCTAATTACAGTGGAGGTTTATATGGTAATATAATGATTTGATCATCCTAGCCTTTTTTTTTTCTAATTTGTAAAAATTTTATCACCAATCTTTAGACTTGAGAGCATTACAATAATTCTATGATGATTATGGATACTAAAAGGGCGGCGGCTTTGAAACAGAATGGCTAACCCATCACCCAACAGGGATTGTATTATTTGGTCAAAATTGAAAAATTGAAATCAATACAAGTTTGATTGATTCCATTTGATGTCAAAAATGTATCTAATTTTTTTCTTTTAAAATATCAATATTCTATTGATTTTAATTTTTATTTAATATATCAAACCAAAAATAAAAAAAATTGAAGTTGCATGGAGGATTCATGAAATTAAATCAGTATTACCCATGCAAGATATGTATTTCTTGATATTTGTTCACAACAAATCGCCAAAGAATTGATTTTGTTGAATTCTGATTTGTTTGCAAATCACATCTAAGGGTTAGAGCATAAGAAAGAAAAGAGATAAAGAGCCATAGAGAGAAATGAATAGTAAAATGATTCCTTAGTTGACTGTGCTTCGTCACTATGAAGTTTACCATTCTCTTCTAGTGAAGTTCTGCAATAAAGCTTTGTAGCAATTTTTTATTATTATTAGTTTTTGTGAGCGTCAATGATAGCCATATACTTAACTTCTTTGGCAGGCAGAGCAACAATCTTCTATAATTTGGTAAGCAAACTCACTATTATGTTACACAAATTAAGTGAAGACATAACATGTACTTCTTATAACATCAGCATCTCATATAAGATTTGAATCTATATATTTTTTTAGATCAATTTCTGCACTTACAAAAAAAAGTTCTTTCTTGTTTGTTCCTCACAAGTATCCTAAAAATCAATTCACCGCCTCTTAATGATGTTTTCTTTAATTATTCACGAATCGTCTGACCACTCCCATTATATGTGCAATATATGGTCTTGTACATATTATCACATACATCAAACTTCCAATAACTAAAGTATAATGGGTTTTTTTTATTTGTGTTTGCTTAGCTTCAGACTTTGATAATTATTTCTTAGATAGTATAAAGTGACTAGCTAAGCTAGTGCAAACTAATTTTGTCTTGCTCGTGTTGAATCTGTGTAGTTACTTCTTAATATATTCTTTGTGAGATAGCTTTAACATACCTGCACTCTCATCCTTGCAAATTCTCATACTAAGAATTATTTTAGTTGAATAAATTTATTATTTGAGACTGCCTTGATAATTGCTTCTCCATGTTCCTAATTTTCTTTGTAGTTAATCATGTAATCAACATGTCATCCAATACAAGAGAAAAATAATAGTCATTTTTAAAAGATTTACTGAAGCAGCAATCATTTGATTGGTTATGATATTTCCTTAGACTATTAAGTGATTTTGTTACATATTGATGTGTTAACTTTCTAAACTTTATTCACTTTTGAATTTGTCATTGACATATTAAAAATCTTTGTGATCTAGGACCTTTGACCACTAATTTGAAGAACAAGTTGGTTAACACTCATTCACCTAGTGGAATGGACATATTATAGGTAAGAGATTACAACCTCATAGAGAATTAGAGGATTCAGGGGAAGCTTTGCATGGCTAAGGCAACTTAATTGTAATATAAGTTTTTGATATTTTTTATGACATAGGAAGAGGCTTAGGAGAATTTTTCCTTGATTGTCAACATTATGTAAGAGAAAATCATTGGAAGAATGTTGAGGATTCACATGATCTAATACATAGAAGCAAGTTTTTAATATTAATAAAAAAAACTCAAAAAACTAATTAGACTTTCTTTTTCCAAAATCAAGATTTAAAACCTTTCAAAACTTCGTCAAACAAACATAGTTATAGTAAGCTAGAACTTTTAATTTTTGGGAAATTAAAAAAGTTTTCATGGGTTCGATATATGGACTCAAACATATATATTACTTGAGTGACACATGAAAGCATGTTTAATGTGTGTTTCACAGCTATGTGATATCACCAAATAACAAAGAAGAGCACATGCAAGTTATTGCTAGGTGACCTGGTGCCTAGTTCTTGCATTTAGGTGTTATAAGAAGCTCTTACATGATCAAGAAACTAAGTAGCTGGAATGTCAACACTCAAATTTGATGCTTGGATGCTACCCCAAGATCTTGTTCAACCAGAAAACTGAGTTTTTTGAAACCTGGCTCCTAGGGCTAGTACCTCGACACCCATGCCTGACGCCTAAGCACCTGCCCTCTGGTGCCTAGCGTCCATAATCGACTTTAGGCATTTTTGAACATTGAAGATCAAATTTGATTAAGTAAATGACTGAAGAAATCTGGAGGGCTTTCTCATTCACAAATTTATTTACTTCTTTTACTTATATGTATGTTATGTGAAAAGAGAGAGTGTGTGGAGAGAAATTAAGAGATTCAAAATGTTGTAATCAAGGAAGGGAAGTTTGGTGGCTAACAAATCTTGGGAACAAGGATTGTCTTTGATCGTATTTTATTTTTATATACACTTATACTTATTTTTATTTAATTAATGAAATCATGTTTTTGTTTCAAATTTAAATAGCACTTGAGAATCTTCCTTTTCCTTAAATTGATAATTTAAGTAACTTAAAGATACTCATGTCATTTGATTGTTAAAAAGTTTCGAGATATATTGATATGTTGACTTTGCATGCTTCATTTACTTTTAAATTAACCACTTGGATTATTAAAATAAGCAATCTAAGATGATGGAAGAAGGGTAGGGGAACAACTAAGTTAACATCCACTTTCTATGGGAATATGAATATCGTTGGTAGGATTGTGCATTTAATAAGAAAACATGAAATCCTTGGGGTCTTTGCATGATTTAGGAGACTAAATTATAGCATGAAACCCAAAGCCTTTTTATGACCTTAGAAGAGGCTAAGAAGTATATCTTCTCTCAATTGTTAATGATATTTAAATCATTTAGATAACTCTAGGTTTCTTAGTTCCAATTCAAGAGAGCTTTTCTCACTTTATAGAAAACCTTACGCTCATTATTTAGGCTTTTATTTTTGCAAAAATTATGATTAAGAACTTAAAAAAATTCACAAACCTTTGATACCTCAAAATAGGCCTAGGATTACTAAACTGGAACTTTCACATTTTTGGAAAGTAACAAATTTTTTGTGGGATTAATACACGGACTCAAAAATATGTATAATACTTAATTAACACATACACTTGCATGATTTATGTGTGCTTTACCATATCATGACATCAAATAATATTAACTAAAATTGTCTAGAAGAAGTGAGTTTTTCTTGGCTTCATAAGAATAATATTTTGACTAGCAATGCTTAGCTATTATTATGTAAGTATCTTAAAATTTAAGTTCAACCTCTCAAGAACTCATTTAAAGATTAAATTTTTTTTATGAAGTGGCTTGAAAAATAAATATTTATTTAGCTTTCTCTCTTAATTATATATGGAGGGACACTAAGGTTTTGTAGAAGCTTACGGTATGGTTTTTTTCTTATTTTCATATGATTTGATTTGACAAAAAACTTGTATGAAATATTTGATTAAGATTAGATATTTTTAAAAAACAAAGCGCCCAAAAATGTTGATTTAGTGTTGAATTAAGTGTAAATAAAGTAAAAAAATCTATGAATAACCAATGGTGCTTCTGATTTATGTTGTAGAAAATGAACTCATATAAATTGTGTATGATTATCAATAAGACTTGGAAAGGATCTAAATTTGATACCAGTGAAAAAGTTTTGGCTTGAAAAAATATGCTTAAATACTCCTGAATCTATAACCACATATTTAAATGGAAATAAATCTTTGATAAAAGATAGTGAGAAGCACGTACCAATGAAGTGCAAGTTCTATTCATTACTTTT